TTTCTTATTCAATTCATCAATACTCAGCTGTTCATCATCATTCTCATCAGGATCTTCTTCTTCTCGTGCTTCATGATCAATTTCTCGATTTTCAATCTCGAGGCCCGGATCAACTCCTTTCTCCACACGATCGCTTCCTTTTACTTCCAAGACCTCGACTTTCATTGCACCATTTGCTCCTTTTGCTTCATCAACTTCCTCCATATTACAAACATCAGTACTAACATCCTTTGGACTTATCTTGACCGGCGCAATCTTGCCTGCGAGCCCGGATGTCCGAATGATCAGCACAAGTATCCCATTGCAGATAAGGAATATGAAGTTTCTCTCAGTGGTGCAGGTAAACACTTTGATGGAAAAATTGGAGCTAAAGTAATCATAGGCTTGGACAAAGAAAGGAGCTAGTTGTGATGGGTGATAAAATAAGAAAGAAAGAGTGGAAAGTGAAAACAGAACTTGTAAGGCCATCTTCAGATAGTAGAATTCGTCTGGATCATGGTTAACACTTTTGCTGTTGCTGTGGTTGGCCATAGTTTTGAGAGGGATTTTGGGTAGGAAAATTAATGTTGTAAGAAGAGAACGAGTACTTTTTGGTTAGTTTTCAGTTGATGGGCGGGCATGTCCTTCTTATAAAGCAAGCATTTTGGAGTGATAAATGGGCTATGAACCATGTTCAAAGGTGGACCCCCATTTTGGATAAAGACTTAAAAAAATTTCTTTGTTGAAAGTAAATGGTGTATATTCACTTCAAATATAATATCTCATATTAGGGCGAAATTCAACATGCCCGTGTTAGATTAACATTCACCCTTGTGGTATGTGTGCGTTGATTTAACGGTAAAAACCTTGTGATTGCATTACTCTCAGTTAACTTGTTCTAGAGTTACTCGTAGGATCGAATGAACTCTCAATTAGCTTATTATGTAGGAAGAATGAACTCTCAATTAGGTTATTACGTAAAAAAATTGCAAGTATTCTGAATAATTTTAATTCCATACATTTTTTTTTTTTTTTTTGGTTTACTTCTTTACTGGTTTTCTAACTTAAATCTAATCCTAGATCCAATAAAGCAGAGGTGTAAAATTAAATAGCTCAAAACATAGTCAAAAAATCAAACCGACACTTTAGTTCAAGTATAGTTAATGCATAGGACCGGATTTTTCAGATGGTAGACTTTCGGTTTTTTTTTTTTTTTTTCAAGAAGAAACTGTGGTTGCCATGATTTTGAGACCCTATTGCCTATAATAATCCATAACATTAGTCGTATGAAGTAGTTGTGACTTGTGTTAGACCAAATCCGTTTTGATTATTGGTGATAATGATATCAAAACAATATAAAATTATTTAATTACATTAATTAGTTAATAGATTGGATCTATCTTCCCTCATTGGTTTTTCTACCGTTTGAATCAACAAAAACTCGTAAAAATCCAATAGATGAGCACACACTCATATGAGTATGTGTAATCTAACGAGCGGAAGTTTGGATCTTCCACAACACACTCAACTACACATATAATAATGTATCTCACTACGAAAAATGATCAATTTCCAAGTAGGAGGCTTTTAAATTAACGTTTTCAAAATTGTCAGCTTTTATTTGCTGATAGGACACATGAAATTTCCTTTTCCGCATGGAAGAACACAAGCGAAGGTGGACTTGAAAGACTTTTACAAATCACCAGGTCTCTAGTAGAGACCTTATAATTTTTTTAGAACTCATATAAGGTGAATACTTGAAAAATATTTGTTGCATAAAATGTTTGAGAACTTTAAAATTTTCAAATAAGAGATATTTAACTGGTATTATTGTACACCATCATCTCTTACACTGTTTTCATTTTAATCTAAACAACTGAACAAACTGATGATCGTTAATCTGAAACCTAGCATCTCATAAACTCTAGAACCATCCAACTACATAAAGAGCTTATCATTTTTAAACAACCAACTCAGGAACTATAACTGCAAAAACACTTGTACAGCAATTGTATCAATGGATGTCCTGTGTCTACAAGATTATGTCATAAATCATGCATTCACTCGTTATATTAAGGCACAAGATGAAATACAAAATGAAAAGAACAAAACGGTCCTCATACAATGTACCCACGACAAACCTTTGTTTGGAAGCCTTTTCTCCTACCATCCATTGCTAGAAAGGTTCTTCACAACACGGTGGTTTTCAGATGAAACGAACGAGAGAAAGGGTCGCTATGAAAGCCTGATCAAACAGGAAAATACAACATTTTAAAAGGGGGCAGGCTTGGCAATAAAGTGATAGTGCCTCACTATTTTAATCATCCTGCAAATACCTTAGTATAAAAGGGGGGAAGCAAAAAAAAATAAAAAATAAAAAAATCAAATAAGTGCTCTCACAATATATACACAACTCAAAGCACTTCTTACCGTGGTACCCCCTTCATTCTGATAGTAAATATGCTTCCAATGTGGCGAAACTGAAAGTGAACATTTTTCAATCATTCCAACCCTATACAAACAGTCTTGATTAAAGTTCAAGCAATACAACACGACTTTGCAGGAATTTCTGAGGAAAAGGGAAGGATATGCTCTATTACTTCTCTTTTCTGGAATTATTAGGTAAAATGTCACCGTGTAACTTTTGTGATTAACCCATGTTCTTATGTAAAGCTATGTTAATAAAGTGATTGGAAATTTTTTTCCAAAACCAAATTGAGAAACAAGATCGCAATTCTATTTAACTTTAATCTGAGAATCTGCTCAACATGCTGCTCGTATTATTATAATCCATCACTCATCTCATATACTCATAAACACTAAATCATGAACTTTAACTACTAACTTACGATGGTATCTGGTGACATACTTTGATCTCAAACTGGCATATTCCAGACATCCTCAAGAAGTTGTTCCAATTTTCCACGAACGAAATCAAATTGCTCTTTCGATAGAAATGATTCTGACAAAATAAATTTGCTGCAAGTGAATGGAAGTCTCTAGAGCATTCATCATTGCTGTTAGTAACAATTCGATCGTCCTCCAATGGAATTAAAGAACTCTCCAGCCTCCACCTTAACATAAAATACTTTACTGGGACTTGAAAGTAGTTTTTCACAACAAGCACGCGGAGTGAATGCCAGAATGCTCGAACCCTTTACAGGAACAATGAACCTGCTCGTCAGCAGGGATCAAAATCACCAAACACTCCCTCTCCATTTTCTTGTAGTGCCTAACAAGATATGAGCCATCAGACATTTCTGTTATTGCATACTGCATGGACTGCACAATTTCATGCTGAAATGCACTAAATGCAAAATGCGTAAGAACAGTACGAGCATGTTCCTCAAGAGGCATGCACGTTCTTATTGGTAAATACGCCATTTTTTTGCTCTCCTTGTTCCCAACTTTTGCAGCAGTAGAAACCTGTAGAGTTTAATAAATAAGTTACGTAATAGCTACAGAATAACTGAATATTTTTAAATTTAAGAGTTAGCAAGAAACCTGTTTGAAAACACATGCCAATGATGATTGTACGTTGACTATTTTCTTAACAAATGTTTCCATGGATTTGCAGTACTCAGGAGTCTAAAGTATGGGCCAAAAAGTAATTACGGACATAGCAAAATGGCCATGATATTCGAAAATCGAAAATAAGAGTAGTGTGTTTATCTGGGGCAATACCAAAATGATCAACCGGATGATTCCACTGACGCTCAAAATCCTCCACATTTTCTAAGTGGCACAAAGTGTCGAATGCAGATTTAAAGTCTCGATATCGCTCGCCAAGTTGGATTGAGAACCAACTGGAGATTTTGGAGAGGACATGATGTATAGGGATAACTTGCTTAGTGTTGGGCATTTAAATTGCCAGTGCATCTCTAAGGTCCGATTCCATATCAGTCACAACAATCTCTGGTTGTCTCCCCTTCATAAATCCAACAAAAACCTGCAGAAGCATAACAAAAACACATGTTTGAGACAACTTTAAATCTACAAGAATGCATTAGGTATAATTACAGAAACTACCCCCCACACCATCCCCAACCCCAAAGCAGTAACAATACGTAAATAAAATAACTCTTTATCGACTTTAAATTTCTATTTTTGTAACTAAACATAATCATTATAACAAAAAAGGTTATCATGTAAGGTGCTCACCTGTAAGGCCCACGAAAATGACTTAGATGTATCGTCCTGAAGAACAGTACATCCAAAGAAAATTGGCCGACCATGATTGTCGATACCCAACCAAACCCCAAGAAGAAAACCATATGTGACAGAACAATATGAGGTATCAATGGTAACAGCATCACCAATGATAAAAAAAATGCACGGGCTGAATCTCCATAAGCCCACGCAACATTTTCCACTTTCCCACTCTCATCCGCCGTGAAATCGTAAACAAACCCCTCATCCCTTTCTGCTGCCACCTTGCACGCATCAAGAAGCTCGATCAAATCATTAGTACGTTTAGAGTTCAGAATAACATCGTTTTCCTCAACAATCTTCCTACAACAACTCAAGAAACTCCTAACATCTTTTTCTATAAATGGCAACTGCCCCGGCTGGACCCCCTTTTCCAGCTCAATCACCTTCACGATTCGATTGACGGGGAACCCGGCTCTCGAGAGAAGCAAGATACGTTCTTGATCAGCTCCCTCGATTTTTCTATAAGCGAGAAGTAGCCGGACTTGCTCGTCCTCCAATAATTCATGGCTACGAACATTACTAAACTGAGAAATATACCACCGACAAACCCCATCAACAACCTCTTTAGTCAAGTACAGTTTCGCATCACAGCCGCAACAAGCCGATTTTCTGTCCCTAGGGTGCTCGACATTCACTTTCTATTCCTGGGCTGGTTGAAACCCGAGCGGTAACAAACAAAATCCCTTCTGCAAAGGCCTATGTTCTGGCTTTCTGTCGAGCGTGATTTCCATATAGAGAACCCATTCTTGCGCGCGAAATTGCTGTAATACTCAAATGCCCTGTCGTCGGTTTTGAAAATCTGGCTAATGGGGCAAACTCGACTTCTTGTGGTGAGGATGAAGATGGTTCGTTATTTAAACATCTAGAAGCTATGGAGCTTTGGCCCTCCTTGTTCGAAGTTAATGTAACACACTAACACTTCCAATCTCCAATGGGCATTGCTGGCGTTTGATCCAAATATTATGCAGTGGCTTCACAGCCATCAAATTCAGAAAACAAAAACGGACAACAACCGTAGGCTTCGGAACCCTCGTCACAAGTTTGGAAGTTTATTCAGGAGGACGCCATGAAATACTTCACAACCTTCAACGAAAAGAAGTGAAGGCAAGACATAGCAAAATGACAGTAACAATTGAAAATTAACTGAAGTAGTTGAGATTACATTACACCTCCATTAACCGCCGCCATTTTCATGGCCTTGAAAAAGCCTTGCTTTCGGCGGTGAAGATGAAGTCGGGCAAACGGAATAATTTATTAATTGGGCCTTCAAATGGGCTAATTTATCGGACTGGGCCGAAAACGTCCCAAACATTTTGGGCTTGGAGTCTTAAAAAATGGTCCACTAAATTACCACTTTAATCAGAAGTTGTACAAAAACTAACATAGTGTACTAAAAGTGATTTTCATGTTTAGTATATTATGTTGAATATTGTACGAGTTTTGATGAAAAGTGACAACTCAGTGTACCATTGTTGATGACATCTACATGATGGACTTTTTTTTTTTTGTTTTTTTGAAAAATGATCAATATAGTGTACTAAAAATGAAATTTAGCCATCAAAGTTTCTCTCCAATCGTTTGCATTGTATTTTAGTCTACATGAATATTTATTATCTTATGCATATTTAGTTATTCAAATTATCAATATGTGATTGAAAAAAATATAAATTATTTATATCAAGATTATTTTATTTTATTAGAAAATTAATTGTGTATTTTCTACAACATCAAGATTGCATTATTTAATTAGAAGATTAATTAAGTATTTCCTACAACATCAATCAAGACTATTTTATTTATTAGATTACTCAATTATTTCTTACAACATAAGTATAGTGCATTCTAAATAGATAATCTAAGTCATGAAAATGTTAATAAGATGTTAGGATTATCTTTGTTGTCAACCATAACCAACCATATATATATATATATAGATATAGCTAGGAAGATTATTCAATAAAATATATTATATTAGCATACATTATACCGTCATATAGTTTAGGCAATTGTTAGATTCTCTTTTTATTTGAAGGGACAGACATTGATCATATTGACCTTAGATGAGTGGACAGAGGAACATTGAAATGTGTTCTAGCAATAAAATGTTTATTGCAGGGACAAATCCACACTTTTTCTTTTTTCCAAATTAACCTGATTTCCCGCCATAAACAAACAATTCACCATTATGCATTGTTCCAAAACAATTGTACAGTCATATGACTAGTAAAAATCAATAATAAAAGTTCAATAATATTATTAATTAGACTATTGTAACTAAACTCAATAATATTATTGTTTTTGCCATATATTACCATGTAGTAAATTTGAATTGGTTGCCTAACAATTAATGAATTATTGTTATTCATATATGTAATATAGATCATGATCAACTCCTTTTCGGACTCTAAAATTGAGTTGTTTAATGTTTTCTAGATTTCATGTTTTGCCCAATTGGATTCACATATTTATGAAAATTCTTGGACTCAAATTTAGTATTAAGTATAGAGTAGTACAACACTTTACAAATTACACGGGTGCTTACTAAAATAACTACATTAAACATAAATATATTAATAATAATTTTATTTTTTAATTAATTTTAATAATATGTTTATAATTATTATAAAGATAAATATAATTTATTTATTTATATATACTTATGGATGTCAAATCGAATCTCATCAAAAGATGATTAATTGAGCAACTGAACCCTCGAATCTCGCCATAAAATCTTCGCAGCTATGTATCTTGTGTTCTTTCAATTCTTCTAGCTCGAACATTGTGGAGGCATAGAGATACGACCTCTCATAGCGGCCATCCTCGCATTATGGACAGCTAAGTCCATGTACGGATCTCGAGCGACCGCATAAACAACCACGTGGATACCGTGAACCTCGTAGGTGAAATATTGGAGAAAATCTCGAGTATCATTTCCTTAGAGCGTTCATGGTTACCTCGCATTAATCAATGCTTGATGGGTTGTTTTCTTTTTCCATTCTTGTGAATAGATTTTTAATTCATTGTATCTTTTTTGTTCTGTTTCAATGCAGGGGTTTCCTCACTCCATTTGAGATCCATGAAGGTGGTGAAAAATCTTGATAAGTTTGACAAAATTACATGGACAAACATGTATGAAAGGTAGCAAGAGTATAGATCTATTCGTAAATCCGTTTTATTTTATTTTTTCCATAGTCAAGTTCATTGTTTTATTATCATGACTATTTTATGAGAATGTAAGAACATGCTTTTTTATAAATTTTTATTATTATTTTTTTTTTTTTGTTTTGATTGGGTTTGTGGTTTGGTTTGGTTAAATTTAAAAAATGCAGTATGATTAATTGTTAGTGGGTATATTAAAATAATTTTTAAAATAAAATGATTAAAATTAAATTGATGTAAAAGTAGGAGAGATAAGATGTGATGTGATGGTTAGTTAAAATTATGTGAGTAGATATTGAATAGTAAATTAAGGTTGATGTTGTGTGTAAGAATGATTGATATTATTTAATTATATTCATAATATCGATGATAGTAGGTTGATTGATTGATAATATTTATTATATTGATGATAGTGAGATGAATTAAAGATGAATTAATAATATTTATTATATTTATTATATTGATTGAGTGAAAAATGATTGGATTTTTTTCGATTGAATTAATAAGTGTTTGTTACTTCTCCACGTTTACGGCAAAGTCACAGATGGTTGCATTTGCAAACATAGGAAATGCGTAGTAAAAGTGATAGCCCACCAGAATTGAGCAATGTATTAGGTTTTTCTTGTTCAATTTAATATCTTTTCCAATTTATTCCAATGGAAAACATTCTGATGTTGTTAGTTAAGCATGTTGACTTAACATATATATTAAAATACTTTCACACTTAAATATTAGGGCATCCACACCCTTTAACACAAACTAGTTATCATCATGTGCACATGCACAAATGTACATAAAATATTATAAGTAATATGTGTGAATTTAATATAAAAATTACAGGTGATAAACATTTCACATTTTCAAGATATGTGAATTTAATATTAAAATTCTAGATGATAAACATATCACATTTTCAAGATATATGAATTTTATATTAAAATTCTATATAATAGACATACCACATTTTCAAGATTATTTAATCATTAGTAAAAAAAAAAAATAGTATTTATATAAATTATTTGAGTACATATGAATCACTATATTGATTAAAAAAAATTGGGTAATGTAACTTTTATAATTGGAGGAATCACGGTCAAGTAATTTACTTGAAAACTTTATTATTATTATAATTTATTTTATTATTATTATTATAATAATTAATATTATTATTACTATTTTATTGATTTTAAAGTTTTTTTTACTATAGTATTAAAACTATTTACTAATTGTTTCTAAAGAAAATTATTTCATGAAATACAAAATTAAAATAATAAAATAATAATAATAATAAAATCATTCATAAAACCTAATTAAGTGTAACCATGTATTTATAAAATCTCGTTTATTTTCCCTAAAAAAGAAGTTATAAAATTTGTCATTCATATTTTGTCTTTCACATTAATGCACCCTATTAAGTGTAAGAAAATGCTACGGTCCCGTTACTGAATCATTTCGTCGGTTTTGTAACAAATAGATCAACTATCCCTGACGGTTAGATGATGATCTAATGGTTACAAACTCCGACGGAACGATTCCGTAACGGGACTGTAACATCTCCCTTAAGTGTAATCATGTATTTTTTGCTATTATATTATATAATAGCTAATGCTATTACCAACTTATAATATTCACACTAAATATAAATTACATAAGTACAAACAATTTTATTGTTTCAAGATATTATTATTATTATTATTATTATTATTATTATTATTATTATTATTATTATTATTATTATTATTATTATTATTATTATTATTATTATAGTAGTTAGTGCTATTTTTTTGCTACTATATTATATAATAGTTAATGCTATTAATTTTTTTACATGATTACACTTAATGGGGTATATTAATGTGAAATGTAAAATATGTGAAAAATTTTGTAACTTCTTTTGGAGGAAAAATAAATGAGGTTTTATTAATTATGTTTTATTTATGAGGTTTTTTAATAATTAGCTAGCAATTATATATATATAGATATCATTCATTCAATCAAAAAGTAACACTATCTTTCATCCACATCATCTTTCCACTAAATTTCTCTCATTTAATCACACACTCACATTCACACACATTCATTTAAATACATATATGGAACCGATTATCCACTCATTCAATATAAATTTTTATATTATATTCTCAATAAAAATAAAAATTTAATATTTTTAAATTATAATAAAAAATTTTAAATGCATAAAAATAAAAAAACACTATAAAACCAAAAGGATAAAAAAATGTGATATTTGAATTTATCATGTTGGATAGTGTGATATCAATTGGATTTGACATTTACGTGATATAGATAAAAAAAATGAATTAAATATCAAATAAAAAGATTGAATTAATAATTAATTTAAAATAAAAAAAAAAAGAGAGAAAACGTGGCGTTCAACATGCTGGACGCCCAATTGAGTCCACAATTTAGGTTATGTTTGATAAAACTAGCTGATAGCTGATAAGTTACTTTATATTTTTATATGTAGTTTTTTATGCTTATAGCTTATAACTTATAACTGAAAAGCTAGCTTATATGATAAAAAATGTTTGGTAAATTAGCTGATAAGCTAACAAAAATAAAAAATTCAATTAGTTTATTTGAAAAGCTACCTAAAGTAGCTTATGAAATAAGATCGAGCCTCGTCCTACCAAACAAGATTTATTTTAATACAAGAAGCATATAAGATAACCAAATAAGTTATAAGCTAACTTATTTGGCTTACCAAACATACCCTTAATGGATGAGCTACATCTGTCCTGAATGCCACCATGACGTTTAAAACCCAAATTAACGGGGCGTTGTACCTTATACTTTGGCAAATAAA